ATCTCCCTCTCAAATGATCTCCTTCATATCACCCTTGGACGCATGCCCAGCTCATCATTCCCTAGTTGGGTTTCACTCGAGCGGTGGTCTGGCGCGGGGTGTCACTCGACGGTCTCCTCAATGAATGTCGGATCCACCTCTGTTTCCTCCGGCATATTTGTTCAGCAATAGGTTCTTGGTTGGTTTGTTTCCTTGTTTTCTTGCTCCTAATTCTTTCTGGCCAGCCATCTAATCTTCAGTATGGAGTCAGAAAAGGCAGGTGGTGATAAAAGTCTGCCTCAGCCTGTTTAGAATGGTTTACGTGACACACGAAGTTCCTGACTTAAATAGAAGCACTGACTTGACATTAGTGATGAAAATCCGAATCTTTTTCTTTATAGTGAATGCAGAAGATTTCCAAAATGATATCAGAGTGATCAATTTTGATATACTTTGCCACAAGTTAATTTTTCCACTTCACCAAATCACCCTCTATTCTTTGTGTTTACATCTCCACGCACAAATCAGACAGTTTATTCAGAGTGCAAAGCAAAAACCTGTTTGATTGTTAACGTATTTCTCAGGCAAGGTTTGAAATCAGTCTCCAATGCCTACGGAATTACTCTAGACTCTCTTCTATCAGTCGTTAGATCAACATCCGTATCTTTATTCTATTTGATAAAAAATGCTGCCTAAATTTCCACCATTTATGATGAATTTACACTTCACTATTATCATAAATCTTTCTTTGGCTTTTTTATTATATATTTTTATAAACATTAAATTGTACTAAACATCACGAGAATTTTTGTTTTGATTTTATTCACTCAGCTTGTGTTTCAGGTTAACTTATGTCATTATTATTATTATTGTTACTTCCTTGTTTATGTACTTTGTTGGAATTTGTAAACAAAAGGTTTATTATATGAAAGTTTACATAAAAGTCTAAAAATATTATTGTAGGCGAAAGGTTTTGCTGAAGATAAGCCCTTAAACAACAATAATAATAATAACAATTGTCTTAATATATTCCCACTTTATAGTCTCACGGTATTATTACAGAAAGTTTAGAAGGAAGGAAAGGTACCTACTGATTGAAAGAAAGACTAAGTTGTCAAACCACTGAAAAGGAGTCCACACAAAACAGGAAGGGAACTCATCATGGGTCGAAAAGCACTTGGAGAGATGAATGAAAACGGAAAACTCTTCGCTGACATCTGTGCCTTCAGTGAACTAGTGACTGGAGGCAGCGTACACAAGCACAAGCATATCTAGAAGCTTACATAGGTATCACCAGACGGGAGCAACAAAAACCAAATTGACTTCATCTCAATGCTGCTCAAGGAAGTGAAGACGCAGCTTACTGGACACAACAGTAAGAAAAGGAGCAGACGCCGGCTCAGACCACTATCTCGTACAAGGAGCACTCCAAATCAAATGAAAAGCTTTCAGATAAACAGGAGCTGCAGATAGACCACAAGCCAAGTTCAATACTCAAAAACTGAAGGATCAGGATACAAAGTATATCTTCACTGAAATCATAAGGAAGATTGCGCGACACAGATCAACACTAGCTTTGAAAAACACTGGAACAGCCTGAAAGCGCTGTGGAGTCAAACCTGCATGCAAGTTCTAGGCAGAAAGAAAAGACAGGAAATACAGCGCCTCACTACGGACACATGGAGACCAATAGAAGAGAGAAGGATGGTGAAAAAAGATTATCCAGCGCATCGACGAACAACAAAAACAGGAGCTGAATGCAAGCTACAATACACTGAACAAAAGAGTAAAGAAGAGTGCCGGGGAAGACAAAAGAAAACATTATGAAGCTATGGCAAGTGAAACAGAACAAGCTGCAGGCAAAGGAGACCTCGCAACACTCTACCAAACAACTAGGTTCCTATCGCGGGCAAGTTCAACACAAATTAAGCAAGTGAAGGATGACGATGGAAAGCCAATCACCAAAGAGATGGAGCAAAGGAAACACTGGGCTGAACACTTCAAAAGACTTCTAAATCGTCCGCCACCTACAACGCGTCAAACAATACCAACAACGGAAGCAGAACTACCAATGAACATCGACCCTCCGACGAAATCCGAAGTCCTGAATGCCATCAAGATGCTGAAAGCTGGAAAAGCAGCAGGACCAGATGGAATCCCAGCAGAAGCGTTGAAAAATGGACCCAGAGACAACAGCGGACTTGATGACGCCACTCCTAGAGAAGGTGTGGAAAGAAGGCAAAGTATCCGAGGATTGGAAGAAAGGGTACTTATTCAAACTGCCAAAGAAAGGGGACTTAAGTCAATGCAAGAACTTGAGTGGAATTATGCTCCTGTCCATCCCAAACAAAATACTAAGCAGCATCATCCTGGAGAGAATCAAACAAGCCCTGGATGAAAAACTTCGGCCGGAACAGGCTAGATTCACGAGGACCAAGTCATGCATCGATTCAAATCACAACACTAAGTATCATCATTGAACAAAGCCTGGAATGGCATACACCTCACTATCTCAACTTCATCAACTTTGAAAAGGCCTTCGACAGCGTTGGTCGAGAGGTGATTTGGAAACTACTTCGCTACTACGGGTGGCCACCAACAATTACACATCTCATCCAACAGCTGTACGACAATGCTGCATGCCAAGTGATCCACAACGGGAAACTCACGGAATCCTTCGAAGTAAAGACAAGAATAAGACAAGGCTGCTTACTATCGCCAATGATTTTCCTGATTGCAGTAGACTGGATAATGCGACAAACAACGAGAAATCAGGAAACAGACATAAAATGGACTCACACAAAAAACTTGGAGGATCTGGACTTCGCCGATGATGTTTGTCTGATTTTCCAAAAAGTGGAACATATGCAAATGAAAAGCAACAAGTTGGCAGAAGAAGCATCAAAGATTGGACTTCAGGTAAACATAGAGAAAACAGAGGTGATGAAGATTCCTGGGTAACACCAACAGAAACAACAACAACAGACAACAATCAGCATAAATGGGAGGAACCTGAAAGAAACAACCTCTTTTACCCACCTACCTTGGAAGCATCGTTTCAACTACAGGCGGATATCAAAGCAAGGATTAGGAAAGCAAGACAAGCTTTCATTTCTCTCAAGTTTGTGTGAAGGTCAACAGCACTCAGCATGAAAATGAAAATGTGATCCAAATTTTCAACTCCAATGTGAAATCAATGCTACTTGCTATAGGGATCAGAGACTTGGCGCCGCGTCACGAAGGGCACTTCGAACAAACTACAGACCTTCATCAACAGCTGTCTTCGCTCAGTACTTCTCTTAAGATCAGATGGCCGGCCAGAAAAGATAAGCAACAGGGATGGATCTCTGGGAGTGAACCAACCAACAAATATGCAGGAAGAAGTGGAGGTGGATTGAACATACTCTGAGAAAACCACCAAGTGAAAGCACACGCCAGGCTACTGCTCGAGGGGAACCCAAATGGGAAGCGGAGATTTGGTTGTCAGTGCAGGGGTGAAATGGAGGAAGTCATGTGAAGAGGAATCGAAAGCATGTGGGCAGAAGTGGAACCAGGTGAAAACACTGACGGAGAGCCAAACGCAGTGGAGACGTGAGGTTGAAGCCCTATGTTTTTCTAGGAACTAAAGCAGACAATAATGATAAGCTTCTGCAAGAACTGGCTCTGAATCATGTTCTTGTCCACACCAAGCAAAACATTAAATAGTGTCATTCAAGAGATTCTGAAAGGAGCCGTGCATGCCAAACTCCGCCTGAAACAAGCTGGATTCAGAAAAAGTAAATCTTCAGCGGATCAAATCTCAGCATAACGCATTTTCATCATCGAACAAAGCATAGAATGTCAGTAGAATCTATGCCTCAACTCCATCAAATTTGGAAAGGCCTTTGACAGCGTTAACCGCGAAGCAATTTTGAAATTCAGTGATGCCTCTGAAATGAAGACAGGAGTGAGACAAGGTTATTCATGTCCACACCAAGTTCACTTTAGAACAGTTTGAAAAATTTGGGCTTTGGGTGTATGACATCCATTATCGTAAAATATTTTATATTTTCAATGAAAACAATATCGTCTTGTTTTTCATTCATTGGGAAATTATAATAATGAGTAAGACAAGGCTGCCTAATATCACTGGCGATATTCCTAACTGCGGTGGTCTGGATCACGTGGTAGACCATGAGAAGCGAGAAGACATAAACACGGACTGATAAGAAGACTCTGGAAGATCTGCACTTCATGGATGCTTTATGTTTGATGTCGCGCAATTTTTTGCGATTTACAGACGAAAACCAACAAGCTGACAATACAAGCAGGCGGTGAAGACAAGACTTCAAGTGAACATGGAGAAGACAGATTGATGAAGATAACTAACCAACAATAACAAGTATCAGTCACTATCCACCGGAGAAATTTGAAGGAAGTCACTTTTTCACTAATCTAGACAGCACTGTTTTCATTACAGGCGGCATGGATGAGGATGTTATAGGCAGCAACAATAAGGCAAGAGAGACAATATGGGCAATAGTGGAGCCAGCTAAAGAGGGGTACAGGGAACTGAATGAAATGGAGATGTGCTGCTAAAATCATATGTTCCCCTAGGAACCCAAGGAAATAGTAATAAAATCTGAAGTATTTTACAGATAAACAGAAAATGATAATATTCAAGAAATTCAGATCATTTTACAATAAGATTAATTTTACCCTAATAAGACAAATTTCATTGGTCGATTGGCCACCACCATTTTGATTGGTTAGTTTGGAAAAGGTATATTTCGTTTAAATTAGCATTAAATTGCCTTATGAATAAATAAGTCAAGTCTTCTTGTAAACTTAATAAGCATAGATTTACAGATGATTTATCACCGATTTTATATTTGTGGGAAAATTCATAAATATTCAGACTGTTTATCATCTAAGCAAGTTTAAAAATAAATTTCAAAACAGGAAGGTATTTGAGTGTAAATAATGTAGGAGGAAATCTATGGATATATTTCATTATTATTGTTGGTTTAGAACATATTAAAATGGTCTCTGAGATTTCATGGCAACTGCTTAAACAAGCCAGTATACTTGGTTTAGCCCCGGTGTTGTCCAATGAAGTTGATCTCATTGATTTATGTACTCAAACGCCTATAACTGATGATAAAATTGTCATAAATGTTAGTGGGGTTCACTTTGAACTGACTGAATCTCTAGTTCAACGTTATCCATCAACACTACTTGGTTCAACTGAACGTGAATACTTTTATGATGCTGTCAATAAGGAATACTTTTTTGATCGTGATCCTGAATTATTTCGATATATTTTAACATATTATCAACATGGGAAATTACATTTTCCAAGGAATATGTGTATATCAGCATTTGAAAATGAATTGAAATTTTTTGCTATTTTGTCGGATAATTTATCGGATTGTTGTTATGAGAATTTTATTGATCATTCAAAGGATATTGAACAACGTCTTGAAGATGATAAAAAGACATTTGCACAGAATAATAAATCATTAACTGTAACAAAGAAAACCTTTCGAGAGAAATTGTGGGCAATGTTTGAAAATCCTGAAGAGAATAGCATAGCCTATATGATATATTATACAACTGGATTTTTTATTATTATCTCCGTTCTGTCCAACATGGCAGAGACATTACCGTATAATGATGGTAAACTGATGGATACTCATCCGTTAAGGACATATGGTGATAAATATTCAAATATATTTTTCTGTATAGACACAGCTTGTGTATTAATATTTACTATTGAATATCTGTGCCGGTTGTATGCTGCACCATCACGTTTAAAGTATGTACGATCTATTATGGCTATTATCGATTTAACTGCTGTTCTACCCTACTATATAAGTCTAATTGTTCCGGCTGGATTACAATTCTCAGGTTCATTAGTTACGCTTAGAGTATTTCGAGTATTTCGTATATTTAAATTTTCACGACATAGTCAAGGCTTACGAATATTGGGATATACACTGAAATCATGTGCTGAGGAATTAGGCTTTTTATTATTCAGTTTAACATTGGTTGTGATTATATTTGCTACAGTGATATATTATATTGAAAAATTTGATGAAAATTCTACATTCTATAGTATTCCTGATGCTTCATGGTATACAATTGTTACTATGACAACGTTGGGGTAAGCTTACTAATATTTATATATATAACATGTCTCATTTCTTTTCTCTTGATCTGTTGTTTATTCCTAATTTTTATTATTTAAGTTCAGTGTTTGTTTTCTGGCATTATAAACAAAACATATATTACGTTTATTTTGAAGTGTATTTCTATTTTGTCTTTTCCATGTTGTTTAAATGAATTATTCAATGTTTCAATAGTTACTTTTATTTTATACATAAATCAGCATATTAACAGTGAGAGCAAATTGACACATAAATCTAATTTACCCTCGTGAAACCTGTTCATTTAACTGGTTTCATAAATTTAATGCATAAAAATGAAAGAATCTCTGAGTTTAGGAGTAAATATTCCAACAGAAAATGGATGTAGATAATTGGAATAAATAATTATTTTTTGTTTGATGAAAGTGTGTATACAAAAAATCAACATTGAAATATGAATATTTATAGTGCGGATAGTTTAAAATGAAAGCAAAATACATTTTTTTCCTGGAAAACATGTAACTTGCTTTGATTCAATTATTGTTTTTCATGGTTATTAACACTAACACTCAGAATATTTGTTTTGTCATAAAGTAAGACGAATATCATTTATTTTGACGAGTTCATCATGGATTGATATCAGTTAGAGAACCATTGAAAACCAGGGAGTACTGGACAGCTGTTTCATCCTAGTTTGGGACTCTTCATCAGTACGCACTCACCGAGGTTCAAACCCAGAACCTTCTGGTTACAAGGCGAGCTCGCATACCATTGAGCCACTAGGACCCGATCCAATAGCCCATGAATTCTAACTTCTGCCAATTCACAATATAGCGCAACCCCTAGCCAATGTCTTCGGCAAGTATTTGTCCTCACACCCGACCTGCTGCACCCTACTGGTCACGACTCCTCACTGGAACCCCAGTTAACTACCTACCTGAATAGGGCAAGTCGCCAGTGAGCATGTCATCGATATTAATCTGATGTTCGCTAGTGACTTGCTACAAGATGGAGTTTCCTGGAGTTTTAGTGCGACGTCGTGACTAGTGAGGTCTATCTATTCAAGTGTGAGGATGGATGTCCTACCGATGACATTGGTTGGTGGTGGCGCTAAATCACGAATTGGTAGAAGTTAGAATTCATGGGCCATTGAATCGGGTCTCAGTGGTTGAGTGGTATACGAGCTTGCCCTGTACCCTGGAGGTCCTGGGTTCGAAACCCCTGTGGAAGGTGCATACTGCCGATGATTCCCAAACTAGGATGAAACGGCTAGCTGTCCAGTACTCCGTGGTTTACAGTGGTTGTCTAACTGATATCAATCCGTAATCAACTCGTAAAAACAAACCTAATCCTTACAAACCAAACATTGGAATATCATTTACTCAAGAGATAAACGTGAAAAGATTCAAATTTGGTAAAAAAACTAAATAAAGTGTTTTAGAAAATATGTAAATTTTACGTCACCGATATATACTAGATAATTCTGCTAAATTTAAAGTACTGCGTAATATCTTATTATTGTTGTTTATCGTGTTTTTTTAAGTTCCGAGTGCAATATAAGGCTTCAAGCTTAGACACTAAAACTCCATTCCCAGTTGAATTTTTTACAGCATGAGGTTGCTAGCTGTACGTCCAACCTCTCCTCTCTACTGGGCTTACTACCAGCTAAACAAGGTGCATCAGCCAGGAATAGAGCCCCGGACCACGTGAGTGGTTGGCGAGTATTCTACCGCTTAACTTTCGAATCACCGACATTTAAAGTACTACGTATTGGAAAGTAGAAAACATTTTCATTAGAAAAACCATCAACCACCGAAATGAATTTACAATTAACCTATGTCTCCTTATTAGTAATCATGAAGCAAAAATCATAGAAAAGTACTTTCCCATCATCAAAGGTGATAATCTGAAGTATTGCCTACAAAAAAATGTTCCCGTTTATTCACAATAATTTGTATTCTTTTTGACGAATTGTACTGAACCGAAATCCTTGGTTTCTGTACACATATCGACTCCTAGTATGAACGCTTCGATGGCACCAACGAGAAATACAAATTAACTCAGAGAAATAGCAAATGATCCCTGTTGCACAAAAGGTGGCTGTCATGGCCCGGTAGGTCAGTAGATAACGTTTTATCATTTTAAACGATAGGTGATAGGCCTGAGTCCTGGTTGGAACTCCATCAGCCACTAAAGATGCAGGTGCATCCAGCTGACATGAGGAACAGACTGCTCATCTTCATTTCCAGTAATTGTTTTATTTCCTTTACTCAAAGACGTATAGACGAGATTTCAAAAATCTATCAGACTGTGGACCATTTGTGAATTTTGTAAATAATTACCTCACTTTAAATATAAGTTCAAGTGTGTGTGTGTGTATCAGGGGTTCATTGATGATATGCTAGTAAGCCACGCACGCGATCCAGGTCTCATTCCCCACGGATGCATTCCTAAGCCTCGTCTAGTTAAGTGGTCAGTGAAAAGCCCAAAAATTAGAAAGTTGAGGCGTATGGCTAACAACCACACCTTGTAAAGAGGAAACACTAACGCTACAAAAACTCTTAACTTTTTGAGTATTTTGAATTGTTTACTCTTTTGAATAATATTACAAGTTTTAAACACTTCCAGTTTTAAATAATGGTCATTTCTCAGGGATGATAACGAAATTCTTCAATATTTGAATGTACTGTTAGCCTTTGAAGACAAAGTGCGTCGGTAGCACAGTGGTTAGGACTCTCATCGACCATGCACATGGTCCGGGGTTCGATCCCCTGCCGGCGCACACCTGATATCAATGGTCGGCCAGCAAAATTTGGGCTACCGATATCGCATGCTGAAAATTCCATACTTGTACCAAAAGATACGGTGTGGCATAAAGCTGTAATCAAAAAAAAAAGTTACTTATATATTAAAATACAGAGAAGGACAAATTTTTCTTTGATAGATATAAATATAAAGTTGTAAATATTTTTTAAGACTATTTGAAGATATATATTAATAATATGTAATCAATAAATTGGAAATGAGGACAAAATTTGGGTTGAAGATTAACACTAATGGACTGCAATAAACAAAGGTAATTTATTTTATCTTTTAAGAACAAAAAATCTGTCTACAACTTGTAACCAGCCACTTGGGAAATACATTATTTATGACGTTTCTTCGGAGTATATGTTATATACAGTAATTACACCCAAACAACCAGTTTTCGCAAATAAACCTTCTTTTTCATGGGTACACGCATGAATATACTGTTAAGCTTGAGATTTACTCTAATCCGTGTAACTACCGAACACGGCAATAATTATAGTATGATCTTTGTTTCTCTTCAAAAAAAACCCAGTGAAATGAAAAGGTTCCCCAAATTTATTCCAACATCTTTGATTGTTAGTTGATCTCTTCATTATGTTGAGTAATTCTAGTTTCACAGGATTCACAAAATTTATATCCCCTCCACTTTAAAAAAACATTATATTGCACAGATTCTTTTCACTGCCTGTACACAACATGTTGTCATGTCAGTTTGTCGTAGCAAGATGACGGTTACAGTTTTCTGTGGTTGAAATTTCACCTGTAAAATGTTTAAATAGAAGTAATTTTTAGTCAAATAGTGTAATATCTCGTCGAAAGTGCTGGAAACTGAGAGCTCCCTAGATGCCATGTTGACCTGGTCTGACTGCGTTGCTCCTTGCATGTTTCAGCTGAACTGCTACTACAAAAAGTAAGAAATAATTGCAGGGTGATATTTCCTAATGAAATGGGTTTTTCTTTGTAGCAGCTGTTCTTCCTTTTGACACAGATTCATTTTATGAAGAGGTCATTAGTTTCAACGGTTACTAAGATGTTTCGCGGTTATTTAGAAGGAAATGCTGGTCACTTTCAGTCGATTTTTCTCCTAATAACAAATATATATATACATCTTTTCTACGCATTACCAAAACTCTTAGATACGTTTCATAGAAGGCATCATGAAAATTATTTTATTTAGTCATATTTTGAACCCACCTCTAGTAATATCTGATGAAACTATTATATTCTTTTATTATTTTTTCTTTGGGTTACGAGTTGAAGACAGAGCTTTAACAAAACATCTCCCTTTCATAATGTTCCCCGCAGTCGTTTTGGATGGCTCTACAATTGCCCATAAGCTTTCATCTCCCGTTTAAACAATCTCCTTCATGTCAACCATAGGCCCACGCCCAGTTCGTCGTTTACCACCCGGGTTCCACTCGAATGATGGTCTAGTGAGCGATGTTATTCGACGGTCTTTTCAGCGTATACCCAATCCGTCTCCATTTCTTTTAGGATATTTGTTAGGCAACAGGTTCTTAACAAGTTCGTTCTCAGAGTCTGTTATCGCTAATTCTTTCTGGCCATTTGATCTTCACTATGGAGCTAGTGAAGACAGCTGTTGATGAAAGGTTATAGTAGCTTGTTGGAAATGCTTTTTAGCGACGCACGCGACGTGTTTCTAAACCATATAGACTTAAACTTTGTATCAAAATTCCGACTATCGTTCTTCATGAAGAATGCACACTGATTTCAAAGTGATCTGCTGAATATGTCATATGCCAAAGCACTTGTTCAACAGTCCAATTTGCTTTTCCCAGTTACCTTCATCTACTGTTGATTTTCAGTAATTTGACTGAATTCAATTAAGATCACGAGGTGAAATATGCTAGAAAACACCAAATAGTACCGGATACCTCATTCGTTCTGGTTTGGGACAATTCAGCAGTAAACACTTATGATCCTACGGGGGATAACAATCTACTAGAAGTTAGAATTCATAGGTCACTAGATTTCGTCCCAGTGAGCGGATTATAGACAGGCTGGCCTTCCAGGGAAAATGCTTTGGGTTCAATCTTTAATGGAGTCATACACATACATTTATATGCTTACAAACAAGGAGTCTCGAAATAGGGAGAAACATCTGTTCAGTATTTCCAGATTTTCAAAGTTTCTCCGACTTTTTTTGATTCGTGATTGAACTCGACTTTGTTTAGTCCATTAGTAA